ATATATATATATATATATATATATATATATATATATTTATAATTACTTTATGTAATTTTGTTTTCAGCTATTTATCGAAGCGTAGTTTAGCCCAAGGCCCCAAAATCCAAGAGCCGCACCGGATACTATTCTCTTTCACATTTCTCATGCAACTTCCTCACATGAGAATTGCCTTTGAAAACTTATGGTCTTGTCAGTTCACAAATTTTACCATGAAGGAAACTTTTGAAAGGTTTAGGATTCACTTTCGGAGAATAAAGATGATTGGCACCTAATTATGAATGAGGACAAACTAGTTTTACAGTGTTATGAGTAACTATAATTTCTAATAATGTTGTCCCATTGTGCCCCGACATTTTAGAGAAAATTAAACTTGAAACATCTCTTTTCTAATAGTTTACGTTGTTCAATGAGGTGGTTTAATATATTATCATAGTCAACAATGTACTGTAATTATTGATCCAAAAAATGTGTCAATAGATGTTGGGGTCCACTCATGTCCATGTGAACAAATTCCTGTACATTTGGATCAGAGATTTGGTTGGGAAGTCGACAGCAATTGTGAACGTGGGAGAGGCTGCGGACGCGAGAAGTAACCGTTCGAGCATGGACGATAAGATCGAAGATGAGAATAAGCGAACACAATCACGAACAATTATCCCAGAGCAAATTGATATCAAGATAGGATAAAAATGATGATAAGCATATGGAGTTTGTATATGTTCTTTTTCCATCCTGTACAATGTTTCAAGAGTTGCAATTTATAGTAATTAGGTCGATGTGGTCACCGTTGGATCAGATCCACGTGGCTTCATTTAATTAACCGAAGTCTCACATCACTGTCATACATTAATTACATTGACAAAGGATCAGTCGTCCTACATTCTTAGGCTGACATGTCTGACACTTATCAATACAAACGTTACATCAATCATTTCTAAAGATACTTATCAGACCTGCTTTAAAGAGAACAAGCACTTCGGCCATAAGAGATAGAATTTCGTACGTGAAGAGGTTCTGCTTTGAGAGGGAGCGCCTGGGTGGAAGAACCCTAACGGAGATAGCGCCTCGGTCGCAAGGCAACTCTTGTCCTTTCTTTATTTTGACTTGGTTAACTGCCAAATGTCTGCACTACGTGCCTCCACGTGGCTTTCATTAGGGACTTTATATATGAGGAGTGGAGTAACAATAATTGTAAGGATGATAACTTGACCGCCACGAGGTTGCTTTGGGTTCAGTTCACTCCAAATCAACCAAAACCTCAAAAAACCGTCGACACTAGACGAACCAAATCCAAGGCACAAAATCCCGAACTCCGATTGCTTTCTATTGCCCACTAAGAGAGACAAATGGGGATGTTATTGTAGCCACTAAGGCCAAGAGAAGAAGAGAAATCGAAAAGGAGCTCAATCACATAGAAAGAGAGACGCCAATTTTTCTTCTCAAATGGGAGGAAGCCAAAATACAATAACACAACTCTAATGAAATTAGGTTGCTACTAATGGCCCAAAATTGGTTTTAGGGTCTAGTCGTATAATTATGAGGAGTTAGTGATTGTTCGGTCAATTGGACAAATCCGACTGATAATTAAACCAAGTTACATCATAGTTAGGGAGTTCGTTTGACAACATTTTGTCCAACAATAACTAAGTTTTAGTGTTGCCTGCTTATGAAAAATTGTAAATGCCATCCCTATAAGACAATGAATTTAATTATTGCACGAGAAAATTTTATAAGCTAATCCGATAAATTGAGATGGTTCGACGGGTTTAATGCAAAATTTTAGCATCTGAATTGTCTTTCTTTTATAAAGCGATCAAGCAGAAAGCCAAAAAAAGTGAGTTTTTTCAGTTCAGGGAAATAAGTGGGGACACAAGTCACAACATTGGATCCTGACGTAAAAGAAAGGTGCTCTCAACTTATTTAGTTCCATATGAAAATTTTATTTTGCATTAACTTTATCTGCACTGATCATTGATGGGTCATTTCACATTCTTCTGCATTGTTTTCTCATCAATTTTCAAGAGTTTTATGCTCTTTCCATCTTTGATTCCTGTGAGTGCGTGAGTTTTTTCAGTTCAGGGAAATAAGTGGGGACACAAGTCACAACATTGGATCCTGACGTAAAAGAAAGGTGCTCTCAACTTATTTAGTTCCATATGAAAATTTTATTTTGCATTAACTTTATCTGCACTGATCATTGATGGGTCATTTCACATTCTTCTGCATTGTTTTCTCATCAATTTTCAAGAGTTTTATGCTCTTTCCATCTTTGATTCCTGTGAGTGCATCTGAGTCTCTATCAACAAGTTTTCTTGTTCATACAGATATCCATTTAAGGCCATCTCAGTTCTTGATTCAAGATGAATGGTATAGTTCTATGATCGAGTCACTCACTGATAAAAAGATCGAGCTGAAGACTGGTACGCGAATTTTCTACACTTACAATGAAGTCTTACAGGGATTTGCAGCAAAATTGACTCCTCAAGAAGCCGAAAGGATCAATGAACTTCCTGGAGTTATTGGTGTATTTGAAGATAGGTTCAGAATAAAGCTTGACACAACACGGTCACCTGATTTTCTTGGCTTGAATTTGCATTATGGGCTCTGGCCGGAGACAGACTCAGGTGAGAATATCATAGTTGGCGTTGTTGATTCTGGAATTTGGCCGGAGAGTGAAAGCTTCAACGATGAAAGGGTCGGACCAGTTCCTTCCAAGTGGAAAGGTACATGTGAAGAGGGATCTGAATTCAACTCTAGCAACTGTAACAGGAAACTCATTGGTGCAAGGTTCTTCCTTAAAGGAGCCGAGCATCATATTTCTTCTGATGATCGACTTGATTCTGAGTATCGATCACCACGTGATGGAGTTGGACATGGAACGCACACTGCTTCTACTGCGGCTGGATCCAACGTTAAGAATGCTAATATATTTGGTTTCGCAAAAGGTCAGGCGCGAGGAATTGCAAGCAAGGCGAGGATTGCTATGTATAAAGCTTGTTGGCTTGGTGGTTGTGCTGATAGCGATATTGTTGCAGCTATCGAGAGCGCTATCAAGGATGGTGTAGATGTTTTATCTCTCTCACTTGGATCTACAGATGAAACTTACTATGAAGATTCAATAGCAATAAGCACGTTTGCAGCTGTCAAAAGAAACATTTTCGTGTCCTGCTCGGGAGGAAATTTAGGACCTCATGAATTTTCTGTACACAACACTGCACCATGGGTGATTACTGTTGGATCGGGATCATTAGATCGCACTTTTCCAGTGCGTATTCAGTTAGGAAACAATAAATCCTTTGTTGGCTCATCACTTTATGCTGGAAAAATCAATAGCAATTTTTTCCCCCTTGTCTATCTTAAAAATTGCATAAACAGGGAATTAGTTCCTAATAATGTCATTGGAAGAATAGCAGTTTGCAATGGCAGTAAGAGACAAGCTTTCGAGAATGGAGTTTCAGTTAAGGCAGCAGGTGGTATGGGATTGATTCAATTAAATGATGCCTCTGAAGGAGAAGCACTCAGGGCTATAGCTTACACATTGCCTGGTGTGACATTGGGTTACAAAGCTGCAAAAGAGCTTCTGTTTTACATACAGTCGACTAGGGATCCTGTGGCAAGCTTCAGAACTCGTACGCTTACCCTAGTAGGGAAAGATAGAGCGCCAATTGTGATGAGCTCTTCAGGACGAGGCCCCAATTATATTGTTCCAGAAATCCTTAAACCAGACCTTGTCGCCCCGGGGCTTGACATTCTTGCTGCATGGCCTTCCAATGTTGCCCCAACACGATCTTCAAAAGATCCCAGGAGGGTAAAGTTTAACCTTGATTCTGGGACATCAATGGCTTGTCCCCACGTATCTGGTGTTGCTGCCTTGCTGCGGTCTGCTCACCCTGAATGGTCCACTGCTGCCATCAGATCAGCACTCATGACGACCGCTACTATAGTTGACAATGTGCAGCATCCAATAGCCAAATTCGAGGACATGGAAACAGCAACTGCTATCAGCTTAGGAGCCGGCCATGTTAATCCTCCATCGGCTGCTGATCCAGGACTAATTTATGATGCTCATGTTCGTGATTACATCAATTTCTTGTGCAGTTTGAACTATACTCAAAACCAGATGAAAATTTTCACTAAGAAGACAAAACCCTGCTCAGGTCTCACTGGATCCCCTTATGATCTCAATTATCCATCAGTTTCTGCTGTATTCAGACCTGGAAACACTGTTCATGAGCTACAAAGAACACTTACTCATGTCGGACCATTTCTGCCAGAAATCTACAGAGTTAGGATTGTCAATCCTAATGCTCAGAAAGTCACTGTAAGTGTAAAACCATATGAGCTGAAATTCAATGCATCTTTAGAGAAGAAAAGTTTCAGAGTCAAATTTGAGACCAGTTATGTGTTCGATAGCAACAAGAGCATTCTTGAACAAATGGTTTTTGGATCCATTTCTTGGGAGAGTGACAAACATATAGTCAGGAGCCCATTTTCAGTAATGTGGGACAAGAACAAGATGGAGGATTAGGTGATGTTCTTTTACTTGTCACCAAGAGACAAAATGTTCTCATGTAAAAAGATTATGCGCTATGAATAAAGTTCCAAGTTTTTCTGACAATCATCTCCAAATACTGTAATTTGATGCTTCTGTTTCAGCAAAAACATAGGAGGTGCAGTTTGATACTTTTGTTTATGCTGTAATTCGTATTTGGCTTTAAGACTGTTAGTTAATTAGTTAATAACTACGGGTGTCAAATTATAAGCGGCTAAAAGCCCGTATAAATAGGAATTGAGGCATTAATGCTGCATTCCAGAGGGAGACTTTTCAGTTTATGATAGAATTGTATTTCTTGAAACTGAGTTTTTAAGAATTCTGTTAGTAGAGAATGAGTGCAAGTTATTTTCATCGTTTCATGTCCAAGACAGCCTCGTGTGTTTATGAGCAATCCTCTGTGAATCAAGATCAGTGAATGAGATAGAAAGACCCCTGAGATTTGATATAGGCTGTTATGCACTTATGATGAACCCCTATAATCCTGCGGTGTTTGCCATGCTCTTCATATTTTATATTTCAATTTTGTGTCTTGGAGTGTACTTTCGAGATTGGAAAAGGTGGAAGAAACTGAACAGATTATATGGTTTTCCCACTGGAGGATCAGGCCAAGATTCATCAAGAACCACAGGAATACATTCAAGAATGACCGCTATATATAAAATTTAGAAGTTTGATGGGAAAGGATACCACTTTGTGGGGGAAGATGCGAGCAGTTTTAGTACCTCAAAAAGCCGAGAAAGCTTTAGAGGATCCATCAAAGTTGCCTCCTACTCTCACAAACCAACAGATGATTGAAATTACCAACCTTTCTGAAGGATATAATGGCTCTGATTTACTAGTGGCACTCGATAGAACTGGTAAATGGGGCATCTTAATAGTATCCAAAAGATTAATACCGAAGATGAAAGGCACTTAAAAGAATGGACTCTATATCCTACAAGCCAGCACTACGATAGCCAGAAGCTGCAGCCACTGGTAAGAATCAGAATATTGAGATGGCCTATAAGTTGTGGCATCTAAAATCTGGCCATGTTAGTGAATGGGAAAGCAGGAGCCGCACAATAAGACTTCCTGTGCAAGTGAAAGTTACAGGTTAGGGAAGTACTAAAGTTCCTCTCACATTAGAAATACAACCTATTAGCAAATGTAAATATCCCGGCAAATTTGCACTCTGTCGTTTTGAAATGAATATTGTAACAACCATGGACGATAATTGTATTCAAATCGATGCCATTCTGCTACATTAGGAACTCTTCTGTCCATCATCTTGTTCAAATATACTTCCAGTCATTGCATAACCCTGCCTTTGTTGTGCAACTCTTTAAATTACAATGCGCACATGCCTGAATACATCAAATTTTTGTGCAGCTTGAACTACACACCAAAAGCAGATGAAGATTTTCACCAAGAAAACAAGACCCTGCTCAGGTCTTGCTGGATCTCCTTATGATCTCAACCATTCAAAAGGGTCTGTTGTAATCAGACCTGGAAACACGTTCAAGAACTACAAAGTATGCTTATTATTTCTGCCAGAAAACTACATTAAAGTCAGGATTGTTGAAGTCACATGACCATATAAGCTGAAAAAAAATAATAATAATAATAAATAAATAAAATGTCACACGACCATATAACTAGACACGCCTTTAGAGTTGGCCATTTAGTCCACACATTTACATTACATTCAACCGTAGCCCAATCCCAGAACTTATAATCGTACAAGCATTACAATCTTAAACTCCGTGTTTCTATTAGTTTTTTTTACTATTAAGGGTTTGTTCGATAGTAATTTTGAAAATTGATTTTTTTATCGTTAGAGAGAAAGGTGGATCCCACTTATAAGAAAAAAAGTAAAAAATAACGACTGAAACAATGAAATAAGGGTCAAATTTTAATATAT